CATAATTAACGAACCCTAAAAAACTCTGCAGCTCCGTGATGTTCGTCCGGGGGTGCCACGCTTTTACCGTGTCCAGCTTCTTTGGGTCGATCTCAACTCCAGCCTCCGAAATAACATGCCCCAAATATTCTAACCTATCCTGGAAGAACTCGCACTTGGAACCCTTGGTCAGTAGAATGTGCTCGTCTAAAACTTTAAACACTGCGTCCAGATCTGCTAAGTGCTGCTGCTTATCGCGACTGTAGACTAGGATGTCGTCGAGGTAAACTATCACGCATTTATCTAAGAGTGGTCTAAACGCCTCGTTCATGGTCATCTGAAATGTCGCCGGTGCGTTGGTCAACCCGAATGGCATCACGGTGTACTCGAATGACCCATACCTAGTTCTAAATGCTGTTTTTACGCAGTCCGATGGTTCGACCCGAATCTGGTGGTAACCTCCGCGTAAGTCAATTTTCGAAAAGACCCGTGCTGTTCGAAGTTGATCTATCAGTTCGTTGGCTCAGGGAATGGGGTATCGCGACTTGACTGTTACCCTGTTCAGTGCTCTGTAGTCGATACACATGCGAAAACCCCCGTCTTTTTCGGTGTGAACAGTATCGGTGCGGCGAACGGTGACGAGCTCGGTTGGATGATTTTTTTCTCTAACAAGTAATCTTACTGCTTCCTCAGTTCATCGAGCTCTGGCTGTGTCAGTCGGAATTGTCACTGTACAGTCGGCTGTGCCCCCGGTTCTAACTCTATTCGGTGGTCATGTGCCCGCTGAGGTGGCAGTCCCTCTGGTAAATCGTCCGGAAAAATCCCCGGGTACCGTTTCAACAGTTCCTGTAGTTCGGGCGGTACCGCTGCCAACAGTTTCTGAAAATCGCTCGGCTGCTCTGCTTCTCCTACCAATGCTATATCCACTGCGTACACGTCAGCTCCAGCGGCGACAGCCCGTTTCATCGTGATGGCGTTGACGTGGACCGTTGAAGACTCGGGCGACTGCCAGCGAGGTAGCACGACCCAGTTACCGCTGCTTCGCACAGTGCAGCTACCCGTCGTCCAGTCGATTCGTGGATTATACCGTCGCAGCCAGTCACGTCCCAGTAAAATGTCGTGCCCATCCAGTGTCGTCGCGAGCATTTCCTGTGTAAACCCAAAGTTCCCCCCGCAGCGGACTTTTACTCTTTCCACCTTCTCCCGTATGGCCAGCGGCGTGTCGTCGACTAAGCGTGCATCTATCTCCGGTAAACACCGACTAAGTGTCAGCTGCAGCTTCCGAGCGGTTGCGGTATTAACTAAGCTGTGACTTGCCCCTCCGTCGATAAAAATCTTCACTGCTGCTCCCTATATTTTCCCGTAAATCAGTACTGGGCAATCCGTCGCTGTACCCTCCTTATTCATCCGAGCCCAATCGATAGCGTGAATCGGTACTGTGACTCGGTGAGGGTTGGTGAGGTTGGGCGAGCAGGCAGTCTCGTCAGTAGTTGGCCCAACTTCTACTGACTGCTGGCGTTTCCCTGCCTCTGAGACTCCCTCCCCTGCTCTGCTCCGCGGCGCCTTAGCTCCTCTGGGCACTCGCTTTTGCGATGGCCCGGCCTGTTGCAAGCAAATCAGCGCCCCTTAAACGGCGCAGCAGCTGCATTCGTCGCAACGGCGTGTATGGTGGCGTGCTCGATTGGTCCCCGAGGGCGATGTCCGTAGTAGGACCCCGGTCTCGGACGGCGCAAAATGTCGATTTTCTCGGCGAGCGCGAGGATCTCGTTAAAATTCGAGAGCCCGCGTAGCATGATTTCGTGCGAGATGTCCGGCTTCAGCCCTCCGACGTAACGGTCCATTCGCTCCGCTTCGTACATGTAGCCGACTTGCTCGCATAATGCGAGAAAACCGCTCGTGTAATCTTGAACTGATCCAAGCTGCCGCCAAGTACGCAGTCTCTGACGCGCCGAAATAGAAGCCGCGATCGGCTCGAAGCGCGCCCGAAGCCCTGCGCACCACGCATCCCACGTGCTATACTGGGCGGTTTCGCAAAATGAACTCCAGGTGACGGCTGGGCCCGTGGGCTCTTCCTCTTGCGACGGTGGCTCGTAGGCGCGTGGCGACGTCACGATGACTCGCCACCAGTCCATGGCGGGGCCCCTCAGCAGCGAAACAGCGTAGCGAATCTTCGCTGCGTCCGACTTGACGTAATTCGCGTCGAAGAAGACGTTCATCGTGAAGACCCACGATTGAACCGTCGGACCTCCACGTTGGCTCGGATCGAAACAGGGCGGGCGCTGCGGCTTGAGTGGCATTGGTGCCATGATGTCGTGACTGCCACTTGTTGCTGCAAACTCCACGTGCCGATGAGCTTCGCGAGGCCCACGCGGGCTTGGTGCGGCCCTATTTCTCTCCATGCCAGGCATCGATTGAGCGGCGCCATCACTGGCTGCGCCTGAGCGCTGTCCCACGCTGTCGTTTTGCGTCGGTGTGCCTGATGAGATGATGATCGGTTCTTCTGATTGCGCAGGTGCATTTGCGGGTGCTTGTGATGGTGCTGGCGCATTCACTGTTGATTGCTAACGGGCGGAGTCACGTTCCGCCGTGAGTGTCGCGATTTCGAGCGCCGAGTCTTCGAGTTGGCGCACGAGACGGTCGAGTTGCTCCTGCGTTAATGTCGCAAGAGTAATGTCGGCCATGGCGGGGGTGTCGGGCAAGCTCAGCGAGAGCCTCTGTCGTGGCCGTGCGTGCTTACGAGAGAGCACTTCGAGCGGCGGTGCTTGTTCGCTGAGAGACGTCTACCCCCCCCCAAAATTGAGATAATGGGGAAGCGAAGGTGTGGGCGCGGTCCGAGAGGAGATCGTAGGCTCTGAATACCAAGTGTTACAAGTGCAATTGAGTGAACGAGCGAGAATTGCACTATCGAAGCAAAACAATACAGTTGAGCGAAAAGCATGAGCGAAGTTATTTAGCGAAGCTAGCGTGGTAACGGTAATGCGGGAAATTGGGGTGCGCTACGGGCCTAGCGCCGAGGTTGGGAATTGTCGAGGCGGAGGTCCGGAGCGCGGGTTACCAACCGAACCGTGAGGTTGGGTCGCATCGTGAACAGTGGCGGGAGTCGTGGTCGAGGCGAATGTCGCGAGCGGGTAACGTTCACGGATGGGTGCCGATGGCGGGAACGGGCATGTACGTGGTAAGCAGGGACGTGAAGTAAGGAAAAGGAAATTTCCTTACAACATTATAGATTTCCTTCTAATATTTCGTGACTTCAACAGTAACGCGTACTGCTCCGCAAGCGCAAACTGAAGAAACACGCAGAAATTGCAGAGCTACTGTGCCTTTGTGTGATCTTTGAAAATTGTATTCTCCTGCAAGTTTTACCACTCATAAAGAATAACGAGTTGTTATTGTTGAATCGGCCAGTTTGCCGTGTCGAGTGTGTTAGTGTCACAGATGATCAGATCCACCAATTGCGGTGGCTCGCTGAAAGCAACACTGCTGGCTTTCTTGGTTGGCAAAAGGGGCACCAAACCGAACCGAACCGAATGGCTGGAAACGACAGCCTCCCATCAGGAGATTACACACGACACAGTCAGCCCGAAATGGGTCACCCTTGCAAAACCATTAATAGTTGGAGACCCATATATTCGATAGAGATTATAAAAGCAGCTCTAAGCACACCAGTAGGAGCACTCAAGAAATGTGTCCTGATTTCGGAACTCTCTTCACGGTTTTCATGGTTTACACCGGAAAAGCAGTAGACATGGCGTTATTATCACCTTAGCAAAATTAGCAAACAGAAACCTAGGTCGAGAACCCACAGTGGATGAACGGACCGCGAACATACACCCGCCCGCCCATGTGCTTTAAAAAGTGCTGGCAACCATTTTCGGGCAGATATGGGAGTGTAATGTCCCTTTTGTCGGCTTTTCGCAGAGCTCGTGGCTATCTTGTAACATTCGGAAACGTCAGATTGCGATAGCGTGTCTCTTCGCAGGGTCTACATTGGTCAGTTTTGCGAACTTTTGCCCAGCAATCACGGGCAGAACGAGACGAATCAACGAACGGATTGATTGACGGAGCGCCGTTGTGCAGCCCAACCCCACTCCACCAAGCATCACCCACCCCAAGCCATCAACCATTCCTTCCAGTCCCCCCCCCTCTGCTTCCCTTCCGCTTTTCGACGGATTGATTGACGGAGCGCCGTTGTGCAGCCCAACTCCACTCCACCAAGCCAACCCCCTCATTCAACCCAACAGCAGCTGCTGCTGACCCGTTCTGTCTGGTGTTTCTACTTTTGAACATCTATCGCTCTTGCTCACTCTCATTTGTACTTCTGCTTCGCGCTTTACCTTGCCGCTGGTTGCACTCTACGCGGAACTGATTTTTGCAGCACAAGTTGTTACTAAGAAAGGTTTGATAGCCATAAAAATCTGCTTCATTAGACGTCAAGAAACTACACTAATTACACGTACGCTCTAGTTACTTTAATCGCAAGAACCCCCTGGTTGTTGTGGGGAATTACGCGTCCACGCAAGAAGATGGACGACCCGCGCGGGAGAGGAGGCGTTGGTGGTGTAATTTCGCCAAAGAAAGAGGGTACTCCGCATCGCCCAGACCGCGCTTCGGCCTCTTGTAGCCCTTCACAGATGGCTACTAGCATTAGCAATATCTATCCCCTCCTCCTCCTTGCCATATGCGGTGTAGCTACCGCGCCGCGTTTGAGCGCGGCCGACCCGGATTCGACGGGGCGAGTCGCGGTGGGATCGAACAGTATTAGCAGGTCGTTCTCGGTCGTTGACGTGGCAGCATCACAGAACAATCCCATGGACTATCATTATGACCTACCAGAGACCGCTCTTTATTATCACACGCTTATTCAGAACGTTTTGGCAGAAGCGCCTCGCGTAGCGCTTTTCGAGCACTCCCGTTACAGTCACTCCGACCTTTTGAAGCGCGCCGGCCGTTTGAGTCACGCGGACCGTTCCGACCGTTCGAATCACGTGAATCGCCGCGCGCTGCAAGCTCCTCTGCAGAACATGACGCTCGCTCCGAACCGCACGTACCGCAAGAACCCCCTCAACGGGCTTAACTACTACACGGGCGGCTGGAACCCCAGCAGCAAGGACTACTGGGCGGTACGTGTGTCGCGAAAGAATGACGAGATCTGTAACTTCTGTAACCCACATAGCTCACAGAACCGCACGCACCGCAAAGACCCCCTCGACGGGCTTAAATTCTACACGGGCGGGGCGGGAACCCCAGCAGCAAGGACTACTGGGCGGTACGTGTTTCGCGAAAGAATGAGTAACCCACGTAAGTTGTGTAACCCACGTAAGTTGTGTAACCCACGAGATTCACGTAATACACGCAACTCACCGAGCCGACACGATCACACATTAAACCCACGTAACCCATATAAATCACGTAACTCACGTAACTCACGTGACCCACGTTATCCACGTAATCCACGGAGTCCTCCCTATGTACCTCACGTAACCCACTCATGCGATGTAAAACCTCCCACCAACACCCCCACCCACCCACCGCCACTCTCCCCCTCCCCCCCCCCCCCACCCCCCCCCCCCCCCCCCTCCCCTCTCCCCCAGTCCGTCATGTGATCGGTGGTCTACACGCCGCTTCTCGGGCTGCACTGCGCGCCGCTGCTCCTGTCCTTGACCTTACACCCCTCCCCACCCATCCCCACCCCTCGTCACCCTTCCCCTCCCCCCAGTCCGTTATGTGGTCCGTGGTTTATGCACCGCTGCTGGGATTGCTCTGGGTCATCCTGGGCCTCGGGATTCTCGGATTCTTCCCCCTCACCCCGCTCTCCGGCTTTACCTCTTCCCACCCCTCGCCACCCCTCGCCACCCTCCCCTCTCCCCAGTCCGTCATGTGGTCCGTGGTGTACGCGCCGCTGCTAGGCCTCCTCTGGCTAATTCTGGGCCTCGGGATTCTCGGTTTCTCCCCCCTCACCCCGCTCTCCGGCTTTACCTCTTCCCCCCCCCCACCCCACACCCCCCTCTCCAGTCCCTCATGTGGTTGGTGGTCTTTGCGCCGCTGCTAGGCCTCCTCGGGCTGCACTGCTCGCCGCTGCTCCTGTCCTTGACCTTGCACCCCTCCCCACCCATTCCCACCCCTCGCCACCCTCCCCTCCCCCCCAGTCCGTCATGTGGTCCGTGGTTTACTTGCCGCTGCTAGGCCTCCTCTGGCTGATTCTGGACCTCGGGATTATCGGGTTCTCGCTGCTCACCCCACTCTCCGGCTTTCCTTCCCCCCACTCCTTCCCACTCCTTCCCCCTCCCTCCCCAGTCCGTCATGTGGTCAGTGGTGTACGCGCCGCTGCTAGGCCTCCTCTGGCTCATTCTGGGCCTCGGGATTCTCGGATTCTCACTGCTCACCTGCCTGTGCTGTCGCGACAAGTGGAGCCAGATGAGGGACCCCGCATACGCCAAGTACACCAAGAAGGACCTCTGGGTGCCGCTGGGGTTCATGCTCCTCGGGATTGTCACCGTGCTGTGAGTGCTGGAGTTGGGGCTGCTTGTAACGAGGATAGTTTGTTTCCGGGTTTGTTTTTCTCTCGAATTTCTGTGTTTCGCCTTGCAATCGTCGCCATGGTGTGCGTTTCATTGGGGTGGCTTTTGTGAGTTCCTTCCATTGGACGCCTTGGTGTTAGGGGCGGATTCAAATTACTTTTGAGAATTCTCAATGGTGTTAGGGGCGGATTCGAACGCAGCAAGCAAACTGAGGTCGCTCTTACTTACCTACCTAGAACTAAATAACGCCTTTCAAACACAGAGGTGGTGTGGTCTACCTAGGTCTAAGTAACGCCATTCTGTCACCCCCTGTGCACTCGGTTCTATGTCGCATTGATGCGATGAGGTGGTGTGATTTCGCAACCCTCCCCTCTCCCCCCTCCCTCCCCCCTCCCTCTCCTCTCCCCCCTCCCTCTCTTCTTCCCTCTTGCTCCCCCTTCCCTCCCCCCTCGCTTCATTAAACCCTCAGGGTCGGTTTCTCTGTGATGCTTGCGGGGGGGGTGCAGCTGAGGAATCGAGTGAACACGGTGACGGACTATATCACAGAGACTGTTGATTTCACCACCGCTGTGATCTTCAACATGACCAGCATCGTGCAGCTCACCTCCACCATCAACATCACCAACACTGTTGTGCCACGTGCGTGCATTTCGCATTCATATATACACATGTACGTATATCACTTATACATACATATGCACATTCATATATATGCACTACGTATGTATATATATATATACACATATATATATATAGCAAAGCAATGTGTGCTCTTTTTGTTTTCCAGCGCTGTGTGCTTTTATTTCTTTATTCTAGCAGTGTGCGCTGTTCCAATCAATAGTTCCACGAACGTGTGAACGAAATTCAAAGCCCTTAATACTAACGCCATTACTTTCACAGCCGGCGTTCTCATAAACTAATTTAACAGCCGGCATTATCATAAAGACATTTCTCCCCCGCATCACCTGCAACTGCTAAGAGGCGGACATTCAGAGCAAGGCGACAGTGGCAAATCAGACAGCCACACACCATCCCTCCCTCTCCCTCCCTCTCGCTCCCTCTCCCTCCATCCCATTTCATCAGCGGACAAGAAGGCAGACATTCAGAGCAAGGCGGTAGTGGCAAACCAGACAGCCACTGATCTACAGGCCAAGACAGAGAACGGCATCACCATCATTAACAACGCACTGCGCGTAGTGTGAGTGCAATGCGGTGGAGTGCAGTGGAGTGCGTTGTGGTGGGTGCAATGCGGTGATGTGCGGTGTGCAATATGGTACATGAGTGGCAAACCAGACAGCCACTGAGCTTCAGAAACAAAACAGCGAATGGCATCATCACCATCAACAACGTGCTGCGCGTAGTGTGAGTGCAGTGCAGTGCAGTGCGGTGGGGTGAGGTGGGGTGGGGGGGGGTTGGGTGTGGAGCAGCGCGGTGCTGTAAGGCTACCTCCTCTCCTCCAGCCCACACAACGAGCATCGAATTCGCTCACTCACGAGCATGTGTCTAGCCTGCTCCAAAGGCCCTCCCTGCCCCCCTCCCTGCCCCCAAAGGCCCTCCCTGCCTCCCCTCCTTTCCCCCCCTCCCTGCCCTCCTCTCCCTGCCCTCCCTTCCTGTCTCCCCCTCTCTCTGACAGAGCGCTCACTTTCTCCATCATCGGTTGCATCATCACCGCTCTCTGCATCTTCTGAGATGTTCTCAATCTCTGCTCTTTGCATCCTCGCCCTCTGTGTGTTGTTTTCTTCCCTCCTTGTTTCTTCCCCTCCCACACCCCTCTTCCCACCCCCGCTCTCAGCACGCTCACCTTCTCCATCATCGGTTGCATCATCACCGCTCTCTGCATCTTCTGAGATGTCTCAAAGGCCCTCCCTGCCCCCCTGCCCCCCCTTCCTGCCCAACCCCTCCGTGCTCTCTCTTCCCCCTTCCCTGTCAGCACTCTCACCTTCTCCATCATCGGTTGTATCATCACTGCTCTCTGCATCCTCACCCTTTGTGTGTTCTTCCCTCTCCTTGTTTCCCCCCAACACCCCCCCCCATCCCACTCCCTCCTGGCAGCACTCTCACCTTCTCCATCATCGGTTGTGTCATCACTGCTCTCTGCATCCTCGCCCTCAGTGCGTTCTTCTCTCCCTCCTCTCTTCTCTTCCTCCTATCTTCCCCTCCTAGCTAGCTTTTGAACTCTTTACATCTTCGCCCTCAGTTTTTCTTCCCTCCCTCCTCTCTTCCCTCCTCCTCTCTTCCCTCCTCCTCTCTTCCCTCCTCCTCTCTTCCCTCCCTCCTCTCTTCCCTCCCCCTCTCTTCCCTCCCCCTCTCTTCCCTTCCTCCTACCTTCCCCTCCTAGTTAGCTGCTGAGTTCCCTTCCCTCTGTGCGTCTAGAACTCAACTCTTCACATCTTCTCCCACAGTTCGTTCTTCCCTTCGTACTTGACTTTTGAGCTGACTCAAACATCAGCTCTCTGCATATTCGCCAATTACTCTTCTGCGTTTTGCCGGTTCTACCCTTTTACCCCCTCTATCCCTCGCCCTCACCAATCTTGTCCAACTCATCATCCCCCGCTCCCCTCTCCCTCCCCTATGCCCTCCCTCCCCCATAACCTCCCACTCCTATGCCCTTTCTCCCCCATAACCTCCCACTTCATATGGTTCAAAACTCTTTCCTGCCCGCCAGTTTTTTCGCTTCTCAAATGGGCTGTCGTATCAAATGTGTGAGTGTTTTTTTTTTCTTATTGCATTCATACGCGCCAGAAAGCTTTGATCGTAGAAAGCATTACAAAGGCTAGTGTTTCACTGATTGATGGTAACAAACCAAAGAGGTACAAATGTGCTTCTGTCATGTGGGATCATATCATAGTAATAAGTACTTCGTATCTTATAAGTACTTCGTATCTTATGTGACGGCATGGTTGCTTTATGTCAACCGCTTTTCTATTTAGCATCAATAATGTACTTCCTAAACAACTTCATGCCCCATTTCTTTGTTGTTTGTCTATCCCCTTTAACAGCACCGTCACTATAATATGGGTGGTGGTGTTCTTTACTTGGTGCACCACAGCCGGTTTGATAATCGCATATTTGTAAGTGTTAACTGCATTGCATCTGTAAACCATACGTATATGCTTGATTAATCCATGTTGTTATGCCTTCATTGCACCGTCCGTAACCCTTCTCGTAAACCGTTACCATACGCATTGCAAGCATGTACGCCCTTTTGCACGCCCTTTGTTTTTTCTTTACTCTGATTATTGTTGTTGCATGTTTACTCCACTTCCCCCAACACTTGATCCCAATTTCAATCCCCAATTTTCCATCCCTTCATTTGCATCCAGGGTGAACGGCGATACAAGTGTGGCGTTAGAGCAGGTGGAGCAAGACCCCACCGTCAACAGCGCCATGGACACTTACCTCCACTGCATTCCCAGCGACCAGCTGCTGAACGCGACTCGTTACGCGCGCTACACTGCTTCCACCGCGCTCACCACTGCCAACACGTCTGTTGCTACCAACGCACCTCAAGTGAGTGCCGGCGCCTGCCAAAAATTGGAATGACTTTTTAGGGGGGGCAAATCAGTCTGGCGCAGTCTGTAGACGGAAAAGTACCAGTGACGCCAGGAGGACGGCGTAGCCAGATCTCATTGTGCAGGCTTCCCTCGAGAAAGGCAGTGAAGAACTCAAGTGAGTGCAGCTCGTGATCTCGCTGTGCTGCAATGTGTACTCGAAAAATAGTCATTTTCGGTGTGGGGGAGAAGGTATGGAAGAAGTCTACGCGCCTAAGGTGACTGCAATGCTTGCGGCGCCTAGGGTGAGTGCAGTGATTGCTGCCCCTCCAGGAATGTTTAGGCATCTCTAAATTCCCCTCCAACCCCTCCGACCTCCCTCCCCTCCCTGCCTCCCCCCGCCCATCACAGGCCTTTGACCTGGTCAACGCCCTAGGCAGCATCTTTTTTTTTTTTTTTTTTTTTTTGTAATAGATATATATATGTAGATATATTTAAATCTCAGAATTTCCTCCCCCTCATCTCTGCCTCCCTGCCGCCCATCACAGGCCTTTGACCTGGTCAATGCCACGGGCGGCATCTGTGTGCCGTACGGCCCGCCGCCCGATTACACGCGCAACATGAGCTACTGTGGTGCCAACACCGTCACCTTCCAGCAGCTGGTGGACGTGAGTGGAATGGCTGTGCTGACGTGGCATGTGTGCTGTGCTGATGTGGCATGTGTGCTGACGTGGCATGTGTGCTGACGTGGAATGTGTGCTGTGCTGATGTGGCATGTGTGCTGAGCGCTTTACTGCTGCTGATGTGGCTTGACTGTTGAGGTGGATGGTTGGGTTGGAGCAGCATTGTGTGCAGGCAGTAGCGTGCGGTAGCTCTTGAGGTGTCTCAAAATTGATTGAAATTTGAACCCCTTTGTGCCCCTTTGTCACGTCACACCACTATCACTGCACTATCACAGCACTGTCGCAGCTTCAATCCACCATCCCCAGCGCCGTTTTCTTGGTCAAAACCACGCCCCGCCTGTTTCCTTGCTTGGCTCCCCACTCCCGTCCCCCATTTTGCTCTCTTCCCCTCCCCCTCCCTGCCCCTCCCCCAGGAGCTAGCAGCAGCAGCCAACAGCAGCACGGCGGTGCCGGTGGCGGTGCAGAACGACCTCACGGCTGCTCTCCCCCTTTGTGCAATTCCCTTCCTTGGTCCTCTCCCCAATGCCCTCCCCAATGCCTTCCCCAATGCCTTCCCCCTATGCCTTTCCCCCCCAGGAGCTAGCAGCAGCAGCCAACAGCAGCACGGCGGTGCCGGTGGCGGTTCAGAACAACCTCACGGCTGCTGCTCGGCCCCCTTTGCGCAAGCATTCCCCCCTTTCGTTGATCCCCCCCGTCCCCGTGCCCCCCTTGCATGCTCTTCCCTTCCTTCTCACCTTCCCTCCTCCCCAGGAGCTAGCAGCAGCAGCCAACAGCAGCACAGCGGTGCCGGTGGCGGTGCAGAACGACCTCACGGCTGCTCTCCCCCTTAGTGCAATCCCCCCCTCCCTTGGTTGCTCCCTCGTCCCCGTCCTTCTTCCCCCTCCCTCAGGAGCTAGCAGCAGCAGCCAACAGCAGCACAGCGGTGCCGGTGGCGGTGCAGAACGACCTCACGACTGCTCTCCCCCTTAGTGCAATCCCCCCCTCCCTTGGTTGCTCCCTCGTCCCCGTCCTTCTTCCCCCTCCCTCAGGAGCTAGCAGCAGCAGCCAACAGCAGCACGGCGGTGCCGGTGGCGGTGCAGAACGACCTCACGGCTGCTCCCCCCCTTTGTGCAATTCCCTTCCTTGGTCCTCTCCCCAATGCCCTCCCCAATGCCTTCCCCAATGCCTTCCCCCTATGCCTTTCCCCCCCAGGAGCTAGCAGCAGCAGCCAACAGCAGCACGGCGGTGCCGGTGGCGGTTCAGAACGATCTCACCGCTGCTGCCAAAACGCTCTCCCTGCTCGAATCCACCATCCCCAACGTGCTCATCCTGGTCAACTGCTCCTACGTTGCCAAAATTGCCTCGGTGAGAATGCCATATGCAGTGCAGTGCTGTGCGGTGCTGTGCGGTGCGGTGCTGTGCGGTGCAGTGCGGTGCAGTGCTGTGCGGTTCTGACTCTTGGGGCTTCTATGGAAAAGAATCCACCATCCCCAACGTGCTCCTCCTAGTCAACTGCTCCTATGTCGCCAACATTGCCACGGCGAGAGGGAGGGAGGATGTTTTACCAAGGTATGGCTGTTGCATCTGAGCACGCTTTGAGGTGCCTGTGGGAACGAACCCACCATCCCCAACCGTGTGTGTTCTGAGTCGACTCAAAACACACCTGCTCCTATGTCGCCGATATCGCCAAGGTAAGGCCTCTCCCATGCTCCCGTGCTCTCCTCTGGGAGGCTGCAATGGGTTGTTATTGTGTGCCCGTGCTCCCGTGCTCCCCTCTGTGTGTCCTTCCCCTCCTCTCGACCTTCTCCCTCCTCTCCCTCTTCTTCCTCCGGCCTTCTCTCCCTCCTCTCCCTCATCTCCCTCCTCTCCCTTGTCTCCTCGTCTTCCTGTCAAAGCCCCCACAGTTTGTATTGACGAGGCACAGGAGATGGTGGTGGATTTCCACATGCTCTGGGTCGGATTCCTGGTCTATTCAGGAAAACTCTTTTCCAAATGCACCATTCCCCCTCCCCCTCAAAATCGTCCCCCAGTTTGCATTGAACGAGGCACAGGAGATGGTGGTGGATCTCCACAGGCTCTGGGTCGGCTTCCTGGTCCTCCTTGTCACATTCCGGTTCGCTTCTCCCCTCATCTCCCTCCTCTCCCTCTCTTTCCAGTTTGCATTGGACGAGGCGCAGGCGATGGTCACGGATTTCCAGATGCTCTGGATCGGCTTCCTGGTCATCACCATCGCCTGTATGATGCAGGCCCTCTCCATGCCCATCTACGTCTTCCGAGCCGTCAGGCTCGGCGACAAGCTCGGCGACACCGAAACTGAGGGGTAAGGCTTGGGGGAAGGCGGATGGTTGGGTTTGAGACTGGGTGTGTTTTGGCATGGGGTTGGGGATGGCTGGGAGGGAGTGTGCTGGTGGGGGATGGGGTGGGGCAGGGGATGGGGTGTGGGGGGGTGAGCAAGGGATGGGGTGAGGGGATAGGGAGCGGTGGAGGGGGGGGGGGGGGGGGTGGGAAAGAGTTGCACCAAGCTGCATACCTCCCACCTATTCCTATCCCTTTTATTGCCTTCCCCACACCAGGTTGTACAAGGCTGCAGCTGTTCCAGTAGCATACCCAGCAGAGGGGGAGGGCTATGACGGGCAGACACAAGGGAACGAGCCTAGCTTTGCAGAAGGCACGAGCAACTCATATGTAGGCTCGGAGCAACCCTATAGCAGCAGCTCATACACGGCCGAAAACGGTGCTAGTTACTTCAAATAGAATATTGTTAGTGGTTGATTGATTGTGCCCCATGGTAAATGAAAAGATTCTCACCTTTCATATCGGGGGAGAAGGAGGGGAGATGGATTGTACGTAGTTATTGCATTGGTAGGTGAGTGACTGGAAGACAATCAGGGTTAACAATCCGTAGCTAACAACTTAAAACGGTCCATGCCACCACCAAACCCTCCTCACCACCAACCCGCCTCACCACCAAACCTTCCTCACCACTACCCTCCTCACTACTGCATCCTTTGTATTCCGTCTCACCAACACGGTCCGCACAACTCGCACCCCTTGACACTGTTGAAATGTATTCGTATAGATTTATATAAATGCCTATAGTATAGCCTAGTGCATTTATCTTAGTTTCCTGCTTGGTGGTGTACCATTTGCCTATCTCCTTGTATCTTGTATGCCCTCCATTATTGGAACCCTCTTTGGCTGATTCTCTCGCCTTAGTTCAGGCCCCCAGAAGTCAGAGAAATTTCTCTGATTTGCATATAAAACTCTGATATTTCAGATTTTTTTTTGGGGGGGAGTCTGTTAAAATCAGATTTTTTAGGGCCTCAACTCTGTTACTTTCAGAGTTTTTTTAAGGCCAACTCTGCAATTTCAGAGTTTTCCGGGAGTGTACTCTGATAATTCAGAGTACAAACGCGTACCAACTCTGAAACTGATTCAGTGTACCTTGGCACCGACACCCCAGATTTGCGCTAGTACGTGTACCTGGCCCGTCAATCACGCGTAACCTGGGACAACACATCAACAGCCAAGTTTTGTGGGCTTCGCCTCCCTGCGACGCGATTTTTCCCACGTAAACACCAGCGCACACCCTGCTAGAGCACTGATTGGTCCTTAGGGCAGCTTTTGCGTGCCATCACGGACTCGACCTGTACCCTCGATGCTGCACTAGCCACCCACGACACAATGCTGACAGCATTGCACGGCTGACGCGCCTCGTCGTTGCCGTGCATGCTAGGCAACCACCCACCCAACTCAACGACTCCTGGTCTTGTACATTGCCATCATCTTTGAGCTATGGTTTTATCCACTACCCCCTAGCTTGTGTTGCCTGGCCCCAGCCAGTCCCCAGTTCTGCCTCGCGACCACATTTCTTGTTCCTGCTCGGCAGGCTCGCTCAGATCAGAACCCCGCCATGGCGGTGCTGGACAATCCCGGCTCCAGCGATCCCGACCCTGATTCCCAGCCTGCCTTAACAGGCTTAGATTTTCTTCTAAGTTCTTTAGAACTCGAGAAGGCAGCACGCGCCACGCCTGATACTATCCCCACACAGTTGGCTTTCGCGGGGTGACGCAGTGCTGAGGCTTGTGAAAGTGCTTCCGGCTCTTATCGTGATGCTGAAGGAGTGGGACGCGGAGATGTATGCGCTCGTGACGAGCTACAGGTTTCATTTTCTCCTGTTTTTCATTGCTAATGTGCTTGAGCAGCTCAACATCTTGAACAGGGCCTTCCAGCACAAAGAGGTGAGCTCACTATTAGAGTGTCCTATCATTGATGTTTCCTGCTTGGTCAATCTGCTCATGCTGCAAAGTACTACTCATTCTGCTTGTTTCCACCAAGATTCCCGTAAGCAGTAGCTAACTACCTTTTGTCTTCTTTCTGTCCAGCTTGACTATGCAAGCGTGCATGCGCAGATCAAGCGCACAACGTCCCATATCGAGAGCCGCTACATCGATTGCGGCGACGACTTCGGTGGCGGCGTCAGCGAGCTGTTGTCCCCCTTCATCACGCGCCCCGGTCCAGGAGGAGACAAGGAAGTTACTGTCAAGGGTGTTGACTTGGACGGCCGCCCTGCACGCTTCACCTTCAGGCTGCATGAGGACGAGCAGGAGGAGTTTGATGGGCCCGGGACCCACGATGGCTTCATTGAGGTCTGCACCGAGTTCGCCGAGGTGATCGTGCACCAACTGCTTCATCGGCTTGGCGATCTGGAGGGGATGTCTGGGGCAAAGCTATTCACCCCCGACGAGTACCCGCTGGATCGAGGAGAGAGGAACCGCAGGTGCATGGAGTGGCTGGAGTCGCTTGTGACCCTATTCAAGGCCGACCTGACCGAGGAGATCCTGCCCGGTAAGCCCATGTTTGTGTGGTATATCATGTTACTGTACTGCATGGCATTGCATATGATGTTGCGCTTCAATGTATCTTCACTAAGCTTCGTCTTTTGTTACTCTTCCACCCCCGCCAGGAATCAACAAGCGTCGTGCGGAGAAGGAGCTGCGCATGTTCTCCTCGGTGCTTGCAGCATCCACCAAGAACGAGCGCAGCTTCCACGCGGGGCTGACTGCCATGCTCAAGACACCCGACTGGCGTGACAACTACCCCAACCTCGTGCTCTTCTGGGTGGCGGTTTCTGTACTGCCGCTGAGCACCGTGGAGTGCGAGCGGGGGTTCTCCCGCCAGAACATCATCAAGTCGTGGCAGAGAGGCGCGCTGAAGGATGCACGCCTTGGAGATCTCATGTGCATGAGTCTCATGGATTACGAGCCCACGTGGGATGAGATTGTAACCATTTGGAGGAGCTACAAGAAGCGCAAGCCCCACAGCAATGCTCCTCTCCCGCCTGCAGGAAAGCAACAGAGCAAGAAGGGCACGGAGGTTGATGAAGTGATGGAAGTGGTAGACCTAGACGATGAGAATGATGCACTAGACAGTGATGAGGATGATGGTTTTGATGAGTAGGATTAGGTAGGATGTTGGTAGACAAGGGCGCTATATAAGTAGGCTAGTTCTAACTGTGAAGGCTTAGCAAAGCAGTGGTACTGTAGTAGTAGTAGTATGTATGTGATGTAGGCCTGTCCAATGTAGTTCAATTCAATCAAGTCCAACCAAAACCTGGGCAAAAATCACAATCAGACTTCTTATTGCTGGTGAGTCTGAATTTTTAGACTTTTTTTTAAGTACACTCTGACCTTTCAGACTTTTTTTTTTACCAACTCTGAGAGTTTCAGACTAAAACTGTGATAGAATCAGACAGGCCAAAAACGAATCTGAGGGCCTGCCTTAGTTCCTCTCGTCACACACGCCATGCATGCAACCTACTTTCTCTTAAAACCCGAGGGTCAAGAAGGCCAAAATTGGTTCATCCTTCCTAGTGTTGGTTGGGTGTCCCAAAACGCCTGTGATTATTCCCGAGTTCTATGACCTCGTCCTACATTTTTTACACTCCCATTGGTTCGCGGGCCAATAGTGTTTTCACTCCCAAACAACCTTCCTAAGCTTGAAATTCTTGGCCCGCGGGTTTTAAGCTCCTATTTTGACAGACACCACTACACCGGCACCGACGCGCCGACAGCTGTAACTGTCGGCGCGATCCACGTCGAACGGCCATCAGCGGCCGACTTGTAACTGACGGAATTGACGGAATCGACATAATGGACGGAATTGACGAAATCGATCAGCTTGAGGCCAGGCCCTTCGGGGGGGCGATACGAAGGCAGATGTAGAGAAATGGGAGAACAAAGAAACTACGTCCGCGATTGGGGGCGCGGCGAGGAGCATGGGAGGAAACGTCGACACTGATGGACTTTGAACGGTTCGGAACGGTGCCTCGAGGTTTGTCCCGAAAGTCCATGAGGGGGAGGAGCTACTAGTGGATGTTCGAAATTGTATTTCTATATAAAACTGCATGCATAATAGTTAGTGTAGTATCATGTTAGATTTCTATCTGTTGGTGGTGTACCCCCTTTGCCACCTTGCCTTGCTCTATAAGTTGTACGGTATTTCAATATTGAAACCCCTTCTCTCTCGATAGCTCTCACGCTACTATCGTTATGCCTAAGGCTCCTAGGCTTCCTAAACCTAACCTAAGAAATAAGTAATTAACATGGTATCCTGTGCAGGTCCGTCCTTAGGACCTATTTTCCTTTCTCTCGCCATGGGCCCACCGCTTGCCCACATGCAGCTCGCTCCGTCGACCCTGCTGCCCCGGTCGTGTCAGAATAGTGTGCAGGAATGAGTGACTAGAAAGGATGGATGAGTACAAGTACGGTAGTTTCTAACCCTAAAGTGTTCTACTCAGTAGAGGCTACCCCCACTACAGCCTACAGACATACAAACACAGTTTGACACACCGCCATAGGCAAAGTGGGGGATAGCAAGAACAACCAACGGTCACAAGACCAGTCAAGCAAGAAAACAAAGCAAAGCAAAGCTCAGGGTGGATCTCAAGATCACCACGCAGTCTGAGCACAAGCAAGCGGCCACAAGGCCAATTCACATGCAGAGTTATAAAAACACAAGCAGTACAGTGATCACAACCTAGCAAGAGCAAGCATGCAAGTATATATATGTAGATCACGGTACAAGACACAGTCAAGCAACCAGCAGGTAAGGCAGAGTAGGCACAAGGCCTAGAGCAGTGCAGAAACGCTGATGATCACCAGGCGCAAGGGCCTTGGTGAAGACATCAGCAGTGTTGGCCCGAGAGGCCACGTAAGCAAGGCTCAGCTGACCACGCTGCTGCAACTCTCGAGCAAGAAAGTAACGAAGAGCAATGTGCTTCGTTCTGTGCTCCAGTCTCTGCTCCCGACACAAGGCAATCATGGCCTTGTTGTCGATGTACAGAACTGGAGGAGAACGAGGCCGCTCACCCAAGTCGGTCAGCAGGTAGGTCAGCCAACGTAACTCCTGTGCAGCCATGGCCCCAGCGTAGATCTCAGCCTCACAGCTGGAACCAAGCACAGAAGAAGAACGAGTGGAACTCCACGAGACAGAACCAGAGCCGAGACTGAAAGAATAACCCTGGGACGACCGCTGGGTCGCCTGGTCGTCAGCCCAAGAAGCGTCGGAGTGTCTTGTGAGTACCACTGAACCCCATCCTCCAAGCACGAACCCCATGCCCGATGTACTGCACAAGTAACGCAACACCCTCTTAGCAGCCCGCCAGTGCTCTGGTCGGTGTCTCCCTGGCGCAACGTAGCGATGTCAGGCCAAGTGCACGTCATCAGGTACATGAGGCAGCCCACAAGATCTGGATACTGACCACTCCGCTCTACGGACTCGTCCGAAGGTGGAGCTGAGAGCGAGTGGCCTGTAGGCAGAGGTGTGGACTGTGGCGAGGAGAACTCGAAGCCGAAGCGCTGAAGGACCTGATGCACCATGTGTGACTGAGTCAGGGTGATGGTGCGCCGTGCTCTGTCCCGGGTGATCTGCAAGCCAAGATAGCTACGCAGCTCACCCAAGTCAGTGCACGTGTGTCTCTTCTACAGCTCCGCCTTCACAAGGGTCAGCGCCTCAGTGTCGGCAGTAGCAAAGACCAAGTCGTCGACGTACACGAGAACGTAGAACGGTGGCAGAGTAGGGTCGGTGCGCGGAAACAGCGACGGGTCAGCAGTCGAAGGAACAAACCCAAGAGCCGCAAGCGTCGTCCTCAGTGTGTCGTGCCACTCGCGGGGCGCCTGGCGGAGACCGTAGACTGGCCGCCGGAGGCTCCACTGGGTACCCTCAGGAAACGACCCAGTGAAGCCAGGTGGGCGGCACAGCCAGATCTCCTCGTGAAGGCTGCCCTGCAAGAAAGCTGTTGAGAAGTCGAGAGAGTGCAGCTCGTAGTCACGCTGTGCTGCAACGTGCATTAACACCCGAAGAGTAGTCATCTTCGGGGTGGGGGAGAAGGTATGGAAGAAGTCGACCCCCTGTCGCTGACTGAAGCCTCGAGCAACGTAACGCGCCTTGAAGGCAGGCGGAGAACCCGGCGGCCGCTTCACTCTGAAAATCCACATGCCATCGACTATGTTCGCCCAACGAGGGGGAACCTCGTCGACGTAGGTGCCTATGGACTTCCAGGAAGCCATCTCTTCGTCCATGGCTGTCTGCCACTGAGAGGAGTACTCACCCGTGATCGCCTCTGCGTGAGTGCGCGGGGTAGGGATGTGTAGTGCATCCGGGTCTCTCTCAGGGCAAAGCAGCATGGACGCAAAACGGGGAAAAGCGGCCGCGAGACACTCCAGCTCAAACTGCCTGTCCTCAAGGACGTCACGCTGAATAACCCACTCGAGAAGCTGCTGCGGCGATAGAGTCTCCGGCTGACGCTGATGCTGCTGTCCACCGCCATACGTTGCTTCGACCGTGATAGTGGCCATGACAGGCAGTGGGAGTCAGTAGCAGCGGCGCAAGGGCGTCAGAAGCGACTGCTGTAGCTGCAGCTGTAGCAGTAGCGGTAGTCGATGTAGTGGAAGGGCAGCGCACAGGCTGCAGGGCAGGGCAGCGCGCGGGCTGCAGGGCTGCGCTAGCCGGGCAGGGTGCGGGCTGCAGGGCACGGCGGCACCCGGGCTGCAGGACAGGGCGGCGCGCGGGCTGCAGGGCAGGGCAGCGCGCGGGCTGCAAGGCAGGGCGGCGCGCGGGCTGCAGGGCTGCGCGGGCAGGGCAGCGCGCGGGCTGCAGGGCAGGGCGGCGCGCGGGCTGCAGGGCAGGGCGGCGCGCGGGCTGCAGGACAGGGCAGCGCGCGGGCTGCAGGACAGGGCAGCGCGCGAGCTGCAGGGCTGCGCGGGCAGGGCAGCGCGCGGGCTGCAGGGTGTGCGGGCAGCAGGGGCAGGGCAGCGCGCGGGCTGCAGGGCAGGGCAGCGCGCGGGCCGCAGGGCAGGGCGGCGCGCGGGCCGCAGAGCAGGGCGGCGCGCGGGCTGCAGGGCAGGGCGGCGCGCGGGCCGCAGGGCAGGGCAGCGCGCGGGCCGCAGGGCAGGGCGGCGCGCGGGCCGCATGGCAGGGCGGCTCGCGGGCTGCAGGGCAGGGCGGCGCGCGGGCTGCAGGGCAGGATGGCGCGCGGGCTGCAGGGCAGGGCGGCGTGCGCGTTGCAGGGCAGGGCGGCGCGCGGGCCGCATGGCAGGGCGGCACGCGGGCCGCAGGGCAGGGCGGGGCGCGGGCCGCAGGGCAGGGCGGCTCGCGGGCTGCAGGGCAGGGCGGCTCGCGGGCTGTAGTGCAGGGCGGCGCGGGGGCTGTAGTGCAGGGCGGCGCGCGGGCCGCAGGGCAGGGCGGCGCGCGGGCCGCAGGGCAGGGCGGCGCGCGGGCTGCAGGGCAGGGCGGCGCGCGGGCTATAGGGCAGGACGGCGCGCGGGCTGCAAGGCAGGGCGGCGCGCGGGCTGCAGTGCAGGGCAGCGTGCAGGCAGAGCGCAGCGCAGGGCAGAGCGCGAGGGGTAGCGCAGGCAGGGCAGCGTGAGGGACGCTGTTCGGGCAGGGCAGGTCGGGCAGGTCGGGCAGGTCGGGCAGTTCGGGCAGTTCGAAACTAGCGGTGGGCCTTAACGGAGCGGTCCTACGGATGGACCTGCTCTGAATACCATGTAAGAATAGTGTGCAGGAATGAGTGAGTAGAAAGGATGGATGAGTACAAGTAGGGCAATGTCTAACCCTAAAGTGTTGTACTCAGTAGAGGCTACCCCACTACAGCCTACAGACATACAAACACAGTTTGACAGGTCGCGCCATGATCGTCACGTCGCGACCGTCGGGAAGCAGGCCGCGACAACCAGCGCGGCGAGATTGGCGCTGTTCGTCGGTGGCCCCGCTCGTCGCGCCGTCGCTCGCGCTCGTTGCGCCAGCGACCGCACGTACGCCAGCGCGCCAGCGTCAGTGTGTACGTCAGCGCGCAACTCGTCAGTGTGCACCAGCAGCTGTCGCCAGCTCGCACGCCAACGCGCAGCCCGCCAGCGCACGCCAACGCGCAGCCCGCCAGCGCACGCCAGCAGGTCACGCCATCGCGCACACCAGAGCGCAGGGTAGCATGAGGGAGTGGCCGCCGTGAGTGACTCCTCCTTCTCCCTGCTGCGCCGGGCGCAGTGTGGGGGGGAGGGGGGGGGGGTGGGGGGGGGGGAGTGGGGGTGGAGGGTGTTGGGGTGGCGGGGACCAGGCAGCCGCCCACTCTCCTTATTTCTCCTTCCAGCTATTCTCCCTCCCGTCTCTCCCGACAATTGTGCAACAATTCGCCGCTTAGGTTCTGTCGTTTCTGGGCTCGTTCGCCCCCGACGCGCACACCGGTCACCTGCTGCGGGGGTTCAACCGCAACCAGGCACCTGCCGTTGGGGTTCAACCACGGTGGTTCAAGTTGCTGCTCGGTGACTGCATCATTTTGGGTTCTAGAGCTGCCATCACTAGCTATGTCTGTATGTAGTTAAGGGGGGATGTTCTAAATTATATTTCTACATATAACTGCATTCAGAATGTTAATGTAGTATCATGTTAGATTTCCATCTGTTGGTGATGTACCCCTCTTGGCACCTTGCCTTGCTCTATAACTTGTACCTATTTAAATATTGAAACCCCTTCTCTCTCGGTATCTCTCACGCTACTCTCGTTATGCATAAGGCTCCTAAGCTTTCTAAACCTAACCTAAGCACCTAAGTTCTTTACAGCGGAAGGGGATGAGGCGTGGCGAGCATTTCAGCGGAGCGGGTGGCGGTGGTGGAGTTTGTGGATGGACGTGTTGTAGTATGGTATCAAATAAGAACATGTGATGATCCGAGAATGCGGTCCGATCTATTAGTGTTAGGCAAGCCAAGGTGCTAAAATACGACTACGACTATGAGAGACTGGTGTTTTGTTACATAAGCTTACCGTTTTTTCATGTAGTGTACCGCGAGTTTGGTTACTTAGCACCGCAAATCGTAAGGGTGTACGAAAGCTTCAGAATCGCCTCGCCACTACTCCACTCCACCTGCAAGTTTGGAGAAGATTCACTTTCCAGATTGCCGTGTGGGTGTGGGTTATCTGACATGCAGTTCGCAACTTCCGCTAGTTTCACACTGCAACTTCCGCTAAGTTCACACATACTGACGACGAGTCGTGCACTGCCACATGCTGACATGTGATGTGAGGTGCCCTGCCTGCCACTCTCATTAGGGCAATCGGGGTACCGAACTGAAACGAACGGTTAATGACTGGTGGTGATTTTTCCAACATGGCAATTGTCTAACAAAAATTCTTACTGTCATTCACATTCATACCCACACATCCGAACTGGGTCCACCTGGTACTTCTGGCCTGTCAAAACATGCTACTTAGATCGAGCTAATCCTGGTCGAAGGTTTGCTAAACATGTCTCGCACGAGTGGCATTCGATTCTGAATCACACAGAGCAGATGTCACGTACTTTAAAGTTCCATAGACCTGAAAAGCAGTCTTCTTGACTATGTCACCCAACGGAGTGTAATAATGTAAAGCGGGGGCAACGAAGCTGCGAACTCATTGACCAATGATGCAAACGCAACGCCATTTGTGCTGGGATTTCCGCCCTTTCTCTGGGCAGCCCGCAAGCATCAGGGCACATCGGTAACATTTTGTGAATAAGCACCGCACGCACACATCCAGCTCGCCACTGAGCTCCTACCGGGATCCGCGAACCGAAACAATTCGGCGATGAGAAACATCCGTGTTTCGTTCGACATGGTTCTGGTATCTTCTAGATTCGCATACCTCGTCAAACTCTTGTAACATATTGTAATCACTCGTCAGCGATTTCCACGGGCATCCAAAAGAACGATCGCGGGCAGTCGAATCCAAACTTTCCACACTACGGTAGCCCGTCCCGCCCCCCTTCTCCCTGCCTTCTTGATCTGCCCTTCTCATTTCTTCCTGTCTCTTCGAACTCCCCCCACCGAACAGGATGAAGCACAGAGCGCGTAACTGACATAGTATCCCTCGTGTTTCTATTTCTGGAGAGATTGGTCACATTCTGGAATGTGGTTCTGCTCCATTCGTCCGCTCTCATCGCCTCTTGTTGCGCAGCACGATAAAACATTTCTGATGCGTGGATTGCTGCTGGAGCTGTACTAGCTCAAATCTGACAAAGAACAGACGTCGCTTGTCCAGACGCCTCGAGCGCCGTCGCCGCGTCTCATTGCACAGGCTCCCTTCCTCCTAGACTCGAAGCGCCGCCGTCGCGACAAGCTCCCTCAGGGAGGGAGGCTGTTAGAAACGCAAGTGGCGGCGAAGCCCCACGACTTCGATTAATCAGACTTCTTTTGAGGCGCCTCAAAAAACGCCCCACGACTTCGAATGATCCGATTTCCAGTTCGGAGAATGGACGAACCGCGTAAAATTTGCGACCATGGCGGGCCAAATAAAACGGGCAACCCGCGTCGGACAGACCGCGCTTCGACATCTCTTGGCTGCCCGCAAACGGCGGGCATTACCCTCCTCCTCCTCGCAATCTGCGCTGGAGCTATCGCGCCGCGTTTGTGCGCAGCCGAATCGGATTCGACGGCGGGGATTGCGGCGGGGCTTGAAGGGCGGCATTAGCACGTCGACCACGCTTTCTGACGTGGCAGCATCGCGGAACAGTCACCTGGACAATAATCACCTTCCCAATGCCGCCCTTTACTATCACGCTCTTATCCAGAACGTTCTGGCCGAAGCGCCGCGCGTCGCGCTCTTCGCCCCCTCCCGTTTCAGTCACGTCGACCGTTTGAGTTCGAATCACGTGAATCGTCGCGCGCTGCAAGCGAGTCCTCTGCAGAACGTGACGCTCGCTCCGAACCGCACGCATCGCAAGAACCCTCTCGACGGATTTAACTACTACAATGGCGGCTGGAACCCCAGCAGCAAGGACTACTGGGCGGTACGTGTTACCCTGTTGTGTTACATCCTATAGTTGCGCAGTAAGTGTTACCCTGTTGTGTTACATCCCATAGTTGCGCCGTAAGCGTTACCCTGTTGTGTTACATCCCATAATTGCGCGGTAAGTGTTACCCTGTTGTGTTACATCCCATAGTTGCGCGGTAAGCGTTACCCTGTTGTGCTACATCCCATAGTTGCGCAGTAAGCGTTACCCTGTTGTGTTACATCCCATAGTTGCGCAGTAAGCGTTACCCTGTTGTGTTACATCCCATAGTTGCGCCGTAAGTGTTACCCTGTTGTGTTACATCCCATAGTTGCGCAGTAAGCGTTACCCTGTTGCGTTACATCCTACAGTTGTGCGATAAGTGTTACCCTGTTGTGTACACCCCGTAGTTGCGCCGTAAGTGTTACTTTACTGTGACTCTGCCCTGTGCCCCTTCAACCCTCCCCCCCCGTACCCCAACCCCAGTCCGTCATCTGGTCGGTGATATACGCGCCGCTGCTCTGGCTCATCCTGGGCCTCCGCAGCCCACCTGTCCGCTACTGACTGCTCTGGCTCATCCTGGGCCTCGGGATCTTCAACTTCTGCGTGTGATGAGTCTATTTTTGAGTCGACTCAAAAATAGACTCATGGCCGCTGCTCTGGGCCATCCTGGGCCTCGGGATCTTCGCCTTCTGAGACGTCTAAAAAAAAAAGTATTCGCCTTTCTTCCTCCCTCCGCTCTCTCCCCGCCTCGCCCTCCCCGCCCTTACACGCCCCTTCCTCCTTCCCCATCTCCCACTCCCCCCAGTCTGTCATCTGGTCGGTGGTCTACGCGCCGCTGCTCTGGCTCATCCTGGGCCTCGGGATCCTCGCCTTCTCGCTCCTCACCTGTTCCCTCCTCCCCCTCCCCCTCTTCCCCTCCCCCGCTTCCCCTCCCCCGCTCCCCCTCTCCCGCTCCCCTCCCCCCCCTCCCCAGTCTGTCATATGGTCGGTGGTCTACGCGCCGCTGCTCGGGCTGCTTTGGGTCATCTTGGGCCTCGGGATTCTGCGGATTCTCGCTGCTCACCTGTCTGTGCTGTCGCGACAAGTGGAGCGAGATGAGGGACCCAGCATACGCCAAGTACACCAAGAAGGACCTCTGGGTGCCGCTGGGGTTCATGCTCCTCGGGATTGTCGCTGTGCTGTGAGTTCCGGTACCGCGACTGCTTGTAGTAACGAGGATGATTTATTGCTCGGGTTCTCTTTCTCGTTCTCTTTCTCTTTCTCTTTCTCTTTCTCTTTCCCTTTCTCTTTCTCTTTCTCGTTCTCGTTCTCGTTCTCGTTCTCGTTCTCGTTCTCGTTCTCTTTCTCGTTCTCGTTCTCGTTCTCGTTCTCTTTCTCTTTCTCTTTCTCTTTCTCTTTCTCTTTCTCTTTCTCTTTCTCTTTCTCGTTCTCTTTCTCTTTCTCTTTCTCTTTCTCGTTCTCGTTCTCGTTCTCGTTCGTTCTCTTTCTCTTTCTCTTTCTCTTTCTCTTTCTCTTTCTCTTTCTCTTTCTCGTTCTCTTTCTCTTTCTCTTTCTCTGCTCTGCCTGATCTCATCCCACTCCTCGCCTCTCTCTCCTCTCCCAGGGTGGGGTTCTCCGTGATGGTAGCAGGAGGGGCGCAGCTAAAGAACCGCGTCGACAAAGTGACGCACTACCTGACGGAGCAGGTTGATTTCACGGCCAGTGTGGTCTACAACCCCCTTCTCTGATCTCATCCCCTTCGCCTCTCTCCTCTCCCAGGGTGGGCTTCTCTGTGATGGTGGCGGGGGGAGCGCAGCTAAAGAACCGCGTGGACAATGTGACGCACTACCTGACGGAGCAGGTTGACTTCACGGCCAGTGTGGTCTTCAACCTCACTAAGATTGTGGAAACGAGCTCGACTATCACCGTTGCCAACGCCGTCATTCCGGGTGAGCGAGCAGTGCCACAGGTGGTACATTGTCTTGTAGTGATTTACTTGCAGCATCGTGCCCGGTTGTTCAACCTCTAGAGCATCGTGGATACGAGCTCGACCATCACCGTCGCCAACGCCGTCATTCCGGGTGAGCGAGCAGTGCCACAGGTGGTACATTGTCTTGTAGTGATTTACTTGCAGCATCGTGCCTGGTTGTTCAACCTCTAGAGCATCGTGGATACGAGCTCGACCATCACCGTCGCCAACGCCGTCATTCCGGGTGAGCGAGACAAACATGGTGCCTTGTTTTTCTTTGTGGCACTGTGGACGTTCAAAACAAGGCGAGGCACGCGAACGAGAGAACAGATGACTCTCCCTCCCTCCCCTCCCCCCTCTCTCTTCCTTCCTTCCTCCTCTCTCTTCCTTCCTCTTTCTGATTCCCCGTGCTTCAGCTGACAAGAAGGCGGAAATCCAGAAGAAAGTAAGGGAGGCAAACCAGACAAACATTCACCATCCCTCCCCTCTCTCCCTCTCGCTGATTACGCGTGCATCAGCTGACAAGAAGGCGGACATTGAGAACAAGGCAAGGCAGGCAAATGAAATAGGCACTCACCATCCCTCCTTCTCCCTCCGTTCTCCCCTGTTCCCGCGCAACAACCTGCAGCTGACAAGAAGGCAGACATTGAGAACAAGGCGAGGGTGGCGAACGAAACAGGCACTCACCATCCCCCTTTCCATCCCTTCGTCTCCCTCTTCTCCCCCTTTTCCAATGCAACCACCTGCAGCTGACAAGAAGGCGGACATTGAGAACAAGGCGAGGCAGGCAAACGAGACAGCCACGGAGCTGCAGGCCAAGACAGCGGATGGTATCGACATCATCAACAGCAGCCTGCGACTCCTGTGAGTGTGGTACAGTATGGTGGTATGTGGTGCGGTCATATGCGGTGCACTGATATGGGTTGGGGTGGGGTGCGGTGCGGTGTGGTACGGTGTAGCTCTTGGGCACGACCTGCAGGCCAAGACGGCAGACGGCATCAACATCACCAACAGCAGCCTGCGTCTCCTGTGAGTGCGGTTTAGAGTGGTGAAGTGATGTGGGATGGGCTGATCTGGGATGCAGTGATGTGGGCTGGGGTGCGGTGCGGTGCAATGCGGTGCATTGTAGCTGCACCTCAGAACCATTACCTTGTATGTCAGTCACCGCCTGCATCATCAGTGATGTGGGCATTGTAGAGGCGCAGCTCTTGAGATCGATTCTTGCTGTCTGCATTTTGAGTAGCCACGTGAAAGAAGTGTATTTTTGAGACGTCTCAGAAATGCACTTCTTTCACGCAGCTCTTTTGACATCGATTTGTGCTGTCTGCATTTTGAGTTGAATTGAACACATGACTGACTCCTTCCCTTCTCCTCTCCCTCCCCTCTCTCTTTGTCTCCTCCCCCCCTTCCCCCCTCCTCCCAGAACCATTACATTCTATGTCATCGGCTGCATCATCACAGCCCTTTGCCTCTTTGCCTTACGTACGTTCCGTTCTGCCTCCTCCGATCTTCCCCCTCACTCCTATTCTGAGACGTCTCAAAGGTCGGAGCGATTATCTAGAACATGAGTCCTTTACTTTTGAGGCGCCTCAAAATTATAACAGTCCTTCACTAAGTTTTCTTCAGGGTTTGCAACTCTCACAATCGCTTTACTGTCTTACGTGATTCACCCAATTGCCACCGTGCATGTATTTCCACTTCTGTCAATTTTCGTTTCGAGACGTCTCAAAATCAAAACTGAATATACCGCTATTTTTCATCAAATCTCTCCTTTTCTTGTCTTCACTTCTCCACTCGTGTATGCATGATTTTCCTCCCAGTGTTTTCACTACTCAAATGGGTCGTAGCATCGAACATGTGAGTATGCTTGCTTGCATTCGAAAACCCCTTGCAGCACGCCAAGTAATTATGTACATTGCGTTAGGCGTTACAAGTAATTACATATCAAAAACTACGAATCAAACTATAACTTCTGCATTGTTGTCGTTGCATTGATTTTTTAGGAGGAATCTGTTTTTTCTTTTTTCTTTTATTTACACGTCACAGTGAAAGTTGATCGTTCTTATTCATCACATTGTAACCATACTCCCATTATTCATAAACACTTGCTATGTGTGTCTCCTTGTGATCGATCTATCTATCCCCCTTAACAGCATCATCACTATAATCTGGGTGGTTGTCTTCTTCACTTGGTGCACCACAGCTGCTCTTATCATCGCATACCTGTAAGCCCCTTTGTTAGTTACTGTGCATCCATATATGTGTTTTAACCTTTAATAATACACTTTGAAGCGATGCCTTCAAATGAAACGTTATCTGCTATAATTCCGGATTAAGAGGACTTTTGCATTCTGTAACCAGAAACCTTAATGATGCTAACCTGCTCGTTCCCTCCCTCCAAACCCCCAATCCCCACCCCCTCCAACCCGCCAAAATTCCCAACCCCAGAGTGGCGATACAAGTGAGGCACTGGAGCAGGTGCAGCAGTCGCCGGCTATGAGCAGCGCCATGGACATAAGTGCCTGCACTGCATCCCCAGGGGGGTCGAGAGACTGCCCTCCCCCTCATCTCCTCTCCCTCCCTTCAACCCCCAATCCCTCCCAACCCCAGGGTGAACGGCGACACAAGTGAGGCACTGGAGGAGAGGAGGTGCAGCAGTCGCCGGCTATGAGCAGCGCCGCCATGGACATAAGTGCCTCCACTGCTCTGCATTCCCAGCGGGTTTGAGGTTGCTGCTCACTCCTACGTCTCCCCTCCCTGGTCACTCTCCCATCCCAAAACAGGGTGAATGGCGACACAAGCGTTGCACTGGAGCAGGTGCAGCAGTCCCCCACCATGAGCAGCGCCATGGACAAATACCTGCACTGCATCCCCAGCGAGAAGCTCTTGAACGCGACGCGCTACGCTCGCTACACCGCTGCCACCGTGCTCACCACTGCCAACAGCTCGGTGGCTGCTAATGCGCCGAGGGTGAGTGCAGTGCTTGCAGCAGCACCTATGGTACATACCTGCGTGTGGTTTGAGTCGACTCAAAACACGGCAGTGCTTGCAGCACCTATGTATGGTACGTACCTACGTGTGTGGTTTGGCGACCCTTTCTTTCCCCCTTTCCACTCACCCGCTCTCCCACTTCGCTGCTCTCGAACGCCCTCCTCCCCACCCCAGGCACTTACCTTCCTAAATGCTCCGGGCGGCATATGTGTGCCGTACGGCCCGCCTCTCCCTGCTCCCCTCCCTGCCTCCCACAACAGTTGTTTAACCGTATCAATGCCCCCCATGCTCCCCCATCTCCCCTATCTTCCCTCCCCATTTAGGCGCTTACCTACCTAAATGCTCCGGGCGGCATCTGTGTGCTGTACGGTCCGCCTCTCCCTGCGCCCTGCCTCCCACCACAGTTGTTTCACCGTATCAATGCCCCCCCTTCTCCCCCTCCTCTTCTATCTTCCCTATCCGGCCCCCACCCCCAGGCGCTTACCTACCTAAATGCTCCGGGCGGCATCTGTGTGCCGTACGGCCTGCCGCCCAATTTCACGCGCGACAGCAGCTACTGCGGTAACGGCACCATCAGCTTCCAGCAATTTGTGAATGTGAGCGGCGTGTGTGCTCACGTGGCATTGTGCTTGTGGCATGTGTGCTGACGTGGCATTGTGATGACCTGGCATGTGTGCTGATGTGGCATTCCTGTGGATGTGGATGGACGAAGCAGCATGGTTTATAAAAAGACTAAGCACAGAGTTTCTCACGACCCCTCATGACCCCTCATGACCCCTCATGACCCCTCATGACCCGTCGTGTCCCCTCATGTCTCTCCCAACACCCCCCTTCTCCTACTGATTGTCCCACCCTTGCTTCTTTCCCCTGTAACATTCTTCCGCCCTTGGTTCTCCGCCCTCCCCCTCCTCCAGGGCCTTACAGCGACGGCCAACGGCACGGCGTTGGTGCCGGAAGTGGTGAGGAACGATCTCACTGCCTTTTTGAGTCGCACACACATTGTTCTCACTCCCCCCTATACCCTCTTCCTACTCCTTTCCAGGGGCTTTCCTCGACGGCCAACAGCTCTGCTTTGGTGCCAGACGTGGTGAAAAACGACCTCACAGCCACCGCAACAACGCTCGCCCTGCTCGAATCCACCATCCCCAACGTGCTTACACTGGTCGACTGCTCCTATGTCGCCAACATTGCTGCGGTGAGTGACAATGCCGTACGGTGGAGTGCGGTGCAGTGCAGTGTCTTGACCAGTATGGTTGCCCTAAGGAAGAGAATCCAATGCACCATCCCCAACGTGCTCACCCTCGTCGACTGCTCCTTTGTCGCCAACATTGCTGCGGTGAGAATCCTGTTGAACGTGTGCCTTTTCACTCACTCACTCACTCACTCATCTTGAATCCACCATCCCGAATGTGCCTACCCTCGTCGACTGCTCTTGCGTCGCCAGCATTTTTAAGGTGAGTGCAGTAGCCGAGGCGCAGGCGCTGATTACCAACTTCCAGATGCTCTGGGTGGGTTTACTGGTGTCTACAAGAAAACTCAGCTTGTTGTTTTCCCCTCACTGCCCCCACCTCCCCCCTCAGTTTGCAGTAGCCGAGGCGCAGGGGATGATTACCAACTTTCAGATGCTCTGGACTCTTCAAGAGGACTCAGCTTGTTCTTTTCCCCCCACTGCCCCCTTTTGAGACATCTCAAACGTCGTCTTTCTGGTATCTTCAAGAGGACTCCGCTTGTTGTTTCCCCCTTTTGAGATGTCTCAAACTTCGTCTTTCTGGCATCTTCAAGCGTTTTGTCTTCCCCCCACTCCCCCCTCCTCCCCCCTCAGTTTGCAATAGCCGAGGCGCAGGGGATGATTACCAATTTCCAGATGCTCTGGATCGGCTTCCTGGTCATCACCATCGCCTGCATGATGCAGGCCCTCTCTATGCCTATCTACGTCTTCCGAGCCGTCAGGCTCGGCGACAGGCTCAACGACGCCGAAGCTGAGGGGTAAGACGTGGGGGAAAGATGGGAGAGTGGGTTTGGAACTGGGGGTTCTTGGGGATGGGTTTTGGGGTGGCAGGGGATTTGAGTCTGACTCAAAAGCAGGGTGGCAGGGGGCAGATTGGGGGAAGGAGGGGGGAGGCGGTGTTGCAGTGCCAGGGGGAGTGGGATAGTGAGGGCTTGAATAATAGGTCCTTGCTTACAACCCTTCGCACAGCAGTCGCACAGCACATCACAAAGAACTTCCCGTACCGTACTGCTGTTCACTCCTGCATCACTGCAACAGCATGCCTCCCAATTGTTCCTATCCCCTTTATTGTGTTCCCCACGCCAGGCTGTACAAGGCCTCAGCTGTTCCAGTCGCATACCCAGCAGGAGGGGAGACCGAGGCTCACACATACGGCAACAATCCTAGCTTTGTGGAAGGCTCGGGCAACTCGTATGTAGGCTCGGAGCAACCTCATAGCAGCAGCTCGTATGCCGGTGAAAGCTACAAGTAAACCTTAAGTTGCTGCCATGCAAAGATAGGGCGCCTATCTGTGGCTCCACTGGCTCGGAGCAACCTTATAGCAGCAGCCCGTATGCGGGCCAAAGTGGTACTGGTTACAGGTAAAATACTGTGGCAGTTACGGTAATAGCTTTGGTATAATACACCTTGTGTATAATACTGTGACCTGTGCCTCTCTAAGACTGGATGTGCCAGTTCAGTTTGGATGTGCTAGTTCAGTTTGATTGTTACAGTGAATGGTCGCACCTTCTGAGAAGAACTTGATGTTCCGGCTGAGCCTTGGAAGAAAGTGTGGGACGTATCCAAACATGCCCCCTTATCCCCTTTCCACCCTCCCTCAAAATGCTTTCTTTCGTGCTGGTACGGGATACAAAATCTATGTCTTGAATATCGTATAGCCACACTGAGGGTGTTTGATGGGTGAAATTTCATCCCTGGCATGACTAACAACATTTACCCTGCCCTGTTAGAGTAAGGATCTTGGATAGGATAGGATTGCCTCAGAGAGATTTGGTAGCGGAAGTCTTTGTGGTAGGAACCTTGTCCATAGTGGATGTAAATGACAAGATTGATTAAAACATAAAATTACACACAATAAATAGATCTATCTAACCATGTACTCTGAGGGCTACATTCCCTTATTCTAACTGTTTTACAGGCAGTTTCTACAGTGACTCTAACCATTGCTCTTTTTCTTGTTACCGAGTCGCTGCGTATAACCGTACAGACGGTTACGCCTATTGCCATTCCTGGCTTGGTGAGTCATTCGGTCCAGATGGTCAACAGTTGCGACAGTTGACTTTTGCGACTGTTGACCTTCCTGCCCTTGTTACGGGCTGATCCGATACTGTTGCTGGTGCTGCTTCGATAGTGACGGGTGCGGTACAGCTGCACCTGCGGGAATGCTAAAGTCAATTCCCTTCATACTCCAACACTCCCCTTCATTCCTGGAGGTGCGCCACGTGGCTCTTTCAGACGACTCCGCACAGGTCAGCGCAATACTGGAACTTCTGACGTGGCAGCTTCTTCGTCAGGAAGTCTGCTGCCATTTCGCCAGTTGGACAGTAGGTGAGTTGGACCTTGCCCTTGTCGATTTCGTCCTTGACGAATAAGTAACGCAGGACGATGTGTTTCGTGTGGTTGACGAAGCCGGGTTTGTTCGCGATCTTGATCGCGCTCTGGTTGTCGCACAGTAACTTGAATGACCCGTTCATCGCCGTTTTCTTTTCCTGTAGGAGCTCCGTGAGGTAGAGTCCTTCGCGAACTGCTGCAGTTGCTGCGATGAATTCTGCTTCTGCTGACGAGAGGGCGATGAGCTCCTGCTTCTGTGAGTTTCAGGAGATGGTTCCTGCAGGCTCAAGTTTGAAAATGAAGCCTGTGCGGGACCTTCTGTTATCTGCGTCCCCAGCGTGATCAACATCCACGTAGCCGGTAAGCTGTAGAGTAGCCGTTAGATTCGCCTTATAGGTAACGCCGACGTCAGGCGTGGAGATGAAATATTGTAGGGCGCGTCGTAGGTCCGCCATGTTCACCCCTTCAGGTCGGCGCAGGTACTGGGCGAGCTGGCTAGCAGCGTGCGAGAGGTCCGGGCGGCATGTGACGGCGGCGAAGAGCAGACACCCGAGCTGCTGCTGATAGAGGCGATGGTCGGCCGAAGATAGCGGGGTGGCGTCGGGCTCGTGATTAGGCGGAGGAATGCGAAATGGGGTGGTGACGCCGACGGGAGCGATGCCAAATTTCTTAGCAAGCGTTTCGGCGTATTTCGCGGCGGACAGGTGGATCGTGTCGGCTGTCTGGGTGACGTTGAGGCCGAGGAATTGAGTGACATCGTGATCGATAGGCACCTCGAGGTTTTCTTTGATGTCGTGTTCGAAGCGATCGAGCAGCTCTGCGTTGTCCCCGGTGTAGAGTAAGTCGTCTATGTAGGCGACGAGTAAGATGAAGCTGCCGCGGGACTCAAGGCGGTACATCCCCTGATCGTGGGGAATCTGCTGGAAGCCGAGTTCGATTAGCACGGTGTGGAGGTACTGCTGCCACAGGCGCGGTGCCTGCTTGATCCCGTAGAGAGACTTCTGGAGGAGGCAGATGACGTCGCCATTTTCTTCGAAGGCGTGCGATTGTTCGACGTATATTATCGCATCGACGATTGTGTAGAGGAATGCGTTCGATACGTCGATCTTGCACAGAAAATGCTGCTTCACGGCTGCGACGCAAACAAGGATTCGCACGGAGGTGTGGCGACCGACAGGTGCGAACATTTTCTCGTAGTCCACAAATTGAGTTTGTTCGAAGCCGCGAACGACCCATCGCGCCTTGTACTTATCGACAGAGCAGTCCGCAAGCGTTTTGATCCTGAAAACCCATTTCCCTGTGAGAATTTTTCTCCCCTTTGCGTGTCGTCGTGGTACTAGCTTCCAGGTGCCGCGCCTTTGAAGTGCAGCGACTTCTGCGGCCATAACTGCTCTCCACTTTTCAGCATCGGGTCCGTTGAGAGCCTGGCGAATAGTGGTGGGCTCTACCAGCTGCTGGTTACCCTGAATGGCAACGGCAAGGCCGAGAATGCGAAGGCCGGTGAGGTTGGATTCAGCTGCGTTGGTAACTTCAACCACGTCGTCGTCGTCGCCAGGAATGTCGCGAACGGTGTTGCGAGAAGAGTCGCGAGCGGGATCTTCCTCCATGGGTGAGTGCATTTCTGCACTTGCGTAGTTATGCTGTGCCTGTACTGCTTCGTGTGGATCAGTGTCCGTTGGGAAAAAGGTTGCTGTTCCGAACTCCTCTGTAGCGGGTACAAAGAGTGCCTCGTCTCTAGATGTCTCGTCTGGCTGTTCTCCTGCCACGTCAACGTCATCCTCGTTGCTGGCGTAGCTGTGCTGTCCCTGGAAGATGTTGTCCGGAGCGTTCTGTGCAGTACGGTGCTGTCGGTACAGTGGCAGGGTCAGCCTTTCGTAGAAGATGCAGTCACGTGATCGCGTGAGTTGGTGGGTGGCAAAGACTAGAATTGTCCAGGCGTGGTATTCGGATTCGATTCCGAGGTGGATGCCCCAACGGGCACGGTCCTCAAAATTTCCGGTCCGGGCAGTGTGGGGGCGGTACTGTACCATGCACCCAAAAACCCGCAGCATGCGTGTGTCGGGGTTTTTGCCGGTCCACTCCTTGAACGGCGAGGTGTTGTTGGGCAGTGCTTTCGAAGAAAGCATGTTGTGCAGGCGAACTGCATGCGCCATCGCGAAGGGCCAATACTTGGTCGGCACAGCTGACTGCTTCATGAGGGCTCGCATCTTTGTCGCGAGGCTCCTGTTGGTTCGCTCCGCCAGTCCCTGTTGCTCGTGAGCTTAGGGGAGGGAGATCATCCTCTGAATCCCCCTTTCTCCGCATAGGGTTTTGAACTCCTCTGTCTGGTACTCTAGTGCTCCGTCGGTTTGGAAGGCTTTCAGCTTCTTCCCCTTGCTCTGAGTCTCCGCCATGTTGATGTGGCGGGCGGATCAAGAACTATGATGTGTTGATCGTCGCTAGAAGTCTTGGGTGACTCGAAGTCGAGCACGAACACTCCGTTTTCGCTCTTCGCCTTTCCGAGAAGATTCCCTTCGTATATTAAGTGAAGCTCGTTCTCTGTTGTGTGCAGTTCGACACCGCACTTCATTAGCTGGTCGAAAGATAAGAGATTGAAGTGAAGCTCTGGCACCACCAGGACATCGCTGATGATGGATTCAGTAACCGGTGTCGTTTGACTCTAGCTGTATCTGTCCGCGGCTTCTCGCGTAGATCGTCTGGTTGTTGGCGACGGTGATTTCGATCTCATTGAAGAGTTCCTCACTGTTGAGAATGAAGACATTCGACGACACCATGTGCTGATCCAAGTACCATTTGCGAGCTTCGCAGTCACGTGATGATCCATGCCGTGATCATTCTCGTAGTCGTAACCTTTGTCGTCGTATGCGATGCGTGCAGGTGGCGATTCTTGAATCCACGGTGGTGCTTGCCAATCATACTGCATGCGGCCGACTATCAGCTCGTCGTAGGTGGGGTCGTTCTCCTCCTCGTCTTCGACCGAACCTTCGGGTCTTTCTGGAGGCGGGTCTGCGAACATGTCTTCCCAGCTCCGGAAGAACCGGTAATTACGATTTGGCCGCGGTGGTCCGTGTCACACCATGCAAGTTAACACCTTGCTTTTCCCTTTGTCATTTGCAGAGATGCGAGCGGGAGCCTGAGAGGTGATGGCGACGGCAGGCGGAGAGACGGTCTGGTTGCGCGCCGAGGCTCTTGCGGGCTGCTGGTGAGATGCTCCTCTTTGTTGTTTCTGACCATGATTGTTGTTGCCGTTCAGCTTCCAGCATTCCTGGATCGTATGTCCTGTCTTCTTGCAGTACTTGCAGAAGAGTCTTTTCTTGTCCGATGGCGCTTGCGCGTTTGTGTAAAACGCAATCTTCTCCTTATTGTTGCCTCTCTCGTTGTACAAGTCAATCTCCTGTTGTTCAGCAAGAAGCGAGGCACAGAGGGAAGTTTCGCTGAGCGTTCCTTGGGTGCGAAGGAGTGACTTGCAGTGGCGCCATTCCGGGCTTAAACCAGCGAGGATGATAGTGACGAAGATGTCGTCAGGGAAGTTATTGCCGCTTTTCCTGAATTGATCTCTCAGGTTTCTGCAGTGGTTGATGTATGGCCCGGCCTTCTCTTCGGGGAACATCTTTACGTTGTTCAGCTGGTTAAGAAGGCGACTAAGTGTCACCGAATCTGTTGCCATGTGGCAGGTGCGCAGGTGCTCCCAGGATTGCTGCGCGGGCGCCCACTCGTTTTTGAAGGGGCGAATGCTCAGTTGTTCTTCGGGCGACAGGTTACGGATCAAGACGGTGAAGGCCAACAACGACTTGTTGTAATATTGTGCCATCTCTTGAGGTGAGCCGTTGACCGGGAATGCGTAGGATTCGTCATAATACATCCAAATCTGCGCGCCTTGAGCCAGGAGTTCAAACTCGAAACTCCAAGTATAGAAGTCCT